TCCCCCGCCCAACAACATACAATTACATCCACAACTAAGCCCTGAGCTCTCCCCAACCTTGTCTTAAAATATCATCCAAACCGTCCTCTCCGCTCCACCTCAGTCCTCCTGTTCTCGCGCTCCCTTGTCACCCCCGGGACTTCCCCAGAGCCTCTCCCGTCCTATGGATCTCTCTACCCCAACCTGTCCGGCTATCTCCTACTCTGTCCACCTTCAGGGAAGTCTATCTGCCCTCCACTTTACCACCCCCACCACAGTCATTACCTTTTGTATCACTTGGCCCCTCCCCTTAGATTGTAAGCTCTCCGGACCAGGGCCCTCCGTATAACCCTCTTGTATTGAATTGTAACTCTGTTTCCCTTTATACTGTACAGTGCTGTACAAACTGTTGGCGCTCTGTATAATAATAATGAACGGTCCTCTTATCTTGCTGCCCCCCCGCCCCCCACGTGAGTTGGATGAAGAGAAGTATAATGAGAGGTAAGTTGTCTCTAGACACTGTGAGACCCTCGTGAGTACCGGAGGCCGCCACCGGTGACCCCTTACCTCCAGGAAGCGGGAGATGTCCCTTTTATCGCTAATGCCCATGGCCACCACATTCTCGAAGAGCCAGAAGAATGGCCGGTTGTCTCCTTCCTTCGGCCGCGCTTCGTGCAGCAGGCGGTAAAACTCGAAGAAGAGGCGGCCGGTGCCCTCTGCAGGAGAGAGAGAGAGAGAGGGAGGTCTCATATCAATGATGGAGGTCGTAGTCCACGCACCGCGCTCCCCACCAATAACGTTCCTCGTGTTGTGTGCAGTGATACAGTGCGGAGGACACAAAACCGACCACCGCCTATAGTGACCACCGGGGGGCGCCATCTCCTCCTCCTTCCACCAGGACACAATGGCTTCTGGTAGGTGAAGCTGAACTCCGGGCAAATATTAAAAGACATAAACGCAGCTCTGTAATCACGTCATGAAATGTGCGTCCCGCATATTAATACCCCTTGTTATATTGTCTCTGACTTCTGATGAATATTAACCCCTTGCTGACCGCGGTGTCCCCTCCCCCGCTCCTGCCCCGCCCATTGTCAATATCTCCTCAGCAAGGAAGAAGACAGCGGCGGACATACTCATCCTGAGTACGGGGGTCCGTCACACATGTGTTATAGGGGTAACATGAAACATGCTCCAAAAGGTGGACTGTGCCTTTAATAGCAGGCAGATTGTCAGCTAACTGGAGCACGTTGCTGGGTATCAATGTAGATATGCGTAAGGCGTGCGGTCGTATGGCGTCACGTCCTCCCTACTCCTTAATCTACACGCTACACCCAGCACTCAGCAGCACAGAGAACCACGTACCGAACAGACCTTTCCGAGCTGGATTCACGATGGAAAGATCGTTACACGGGCTTCCCCCAATCACTAAATCAAATGGACCCCATTCATGAATCTGGGGACAGAGAGAGACCATTAATAGAAGATGAAGGACATCCACGGTACAGAAAACATAAATATCATGACAAATACAATACATGGGCACACGTATGTGGACACCTGACCACCGCACCTGTATGAGCTTGTAGGACATCTCATTCCAACCCCATTGACATGGAATGTTCCCAAATCTGCAGCTATACCATCCTTCACTCTCACAGGAAGACTTGCACAAGATGTTGGGGGTGTCTGTTGGAATTTGTCCCATCTGTGAGGTCAGGTACTGATGGTGGATGAGAAGACCCGGCCAAAGGTGTCCGGTAGGGTTGAGGTCGGGGCTCAGTGCAGGACACTCGAGTTCCTCCACCGAACTGGTCACACCATGTCTATATGGAGCTGGCTTTGTCCACCTGAACTCAATCATTCCTGTGGTGTTCAGTAGGGTTGAGGTCAGGACTCTGGTGTGGAGGAACTTGAGTGGCCTTCACAGACTGGTCACACCATGTCTATGGAGCTGGCTTTGTATACAGGGGACAGTCATGTGGGGAACAGAAAACGGTCTTCACCAAACTGTGACCACAAGGCTGGAGGAGCCCCATTGTCTCCAATGTCTTTGTAAGATGGAACAGAACCTTCACTGGAGACATTAGAAGTGGTTTTGTTGTGAGGTGCGGCCTGTGCACAGAGGTTCAACCCTTCCCCCATTCTGTCCACAACTAAAGAATAGCATTTCGGGGAGAGCCGGGCTATGAAATCATTGTCATCCTTCCAGTTCCTAACAAAGGGAAGTAACAGGATTGGTGAACTCACCATAAAACCCTTTTCTCCGGGTCCATTAAAGGCAAACAAGAGTTATACTGCCGCCTACAGGAGAAGTGGACACTAGGCACTTAGAAGACTAAAGGCCAGCCCCCTAGAGACTATGGCCCCTCCCACACCAATCCCACTTAGTTGTACCAAGCAGTCCAAGAGGGAACCAAAACATACGAGGGAAACATTGCATGGATGTACCTTAGTGGAGTGGGCTTTGATGGGAAATGGATGTACCTTAGTGGAGTGGGCTTTGATGGGACATGGAGGTACCTTAGTGGGGAGGGCTTTGATGAGACATGGAGGTACCTTAGTGGGGTGGGCTTTGATGAGACATGGAGGTACCTTAGTGGAGTGGGCTTTGATGGGACATGGAGGTACCTTAGTGGAGTGGGCTTTGATGGGACATGGATGTACCTTAGTGGAGTGTGAATTGATGGGACATGGAGGTACCTTAGTGGGGTGGGCTTTGATGGGGCATGGAGGTACCTTAGTGGAGTGGGCTTTGATGGGGCATGGATGTAGAAATTGTGACAACGTTGTGGCCAAGGTTTCTATGGGACGGATGGACCTGCACAACCTTCAGGTTACGGGTTTTATGAACGTCAGGCTAGACGGCGGTCACTCACATGCCTACGGGTGATGTTGCGTACGTCTCCCACGTACATGACCTTGCCCTGATGTCGCACCATGCCCACTGTGATGGAGTCTTCGCACACCTCGGAGGCGATGTACCGGTCTACCTGGATCCCCAGATCCTTTAGCACCAATAGACCTGGAGGGAAGATCGGAGAGGTGAAAGTCAAGCCGCAGCCAATGAGGAGGGGGGCACCCGGCCCGGACGAGTCACGTGATCGGCTCACCTGTAGCAATGCCGTCGAACAAAGAAAGTACACGGATAGGCTTCCGCTTATCAGCTGGTATCGGAGGATAGAACTTTGCCGGCTCCTTTATGAAAGAGAGGAAACATTAAAACTGGCGAATCTGAAGACACAAAATGTAGCCGGCGTCTGACGTTCAGCAACAGGTGACTACAGCCGCGTGAGATATAAATCTGCCACAGCTCCGCCCCAAGAACCAGCGAGGTCACATGACTTCCGTGGTGTACAGTAATCTGCGGCAGCCTCCTGAGCTCAGCACCGGACCCCGGAATTCTCAGCATTAGGGCCGGTGGGGGGCCCCCGGAATCACTGATATTATGTCTATAGGTTTCCATAACTATCGTCATCCCCAGGATTGTACAACCCATCAGGAGAGGAAGGGCATCCCCGGCATTCCACTTACACCGACTGGG